CCGCCGCGGTCGCCAACACCGCATGGCGCCGTCTGCTCCAGATCTGCGAGAAGGTCTACTACGAGCCGGTGTGGGAGTTTTACACGACTTTCAAGCACAATTCCACGACCAGTTGCCAGGACAGTACAACCGTCCAATTCAGGCTGGGCGGTGTCCCCCGGTCCTTGAGCTACCACGAGCTGGCCGAGGCTCTCGACCTCGACGACAGTGAGGACTACGTCACCGAGGTTACTGAGCCACCGGAGGTGGACTTCGGGAGACTGTACACCAGCCTGGCTCGGCCAGGCTAGACGCGTCCTTTCAAGTCCGGGAGGACGAAGGCATCTACCCTGCAGATCGACAACCGACTTCTCCACCACCTGCTGACGAAGTCGTACACCCCTGCAGGAGAAAGCGCCGGCGCCATCACAAAGAGGACCCCGTACTTCCTCCATTCGATCCGCCAGCGCCGCCATGCTCTCCACCTGGGGTCGGTGGTGGCGAAGACCTTCGAGAAGACGGCCACCGAGCTGAAGAGCCTCCACTGCGGCCCCCTCATCACCCGCCTCGTCACTTTCTTTGGCCTTTCACTGCAGGGGTGCACCGAGGAAGGAGACACCCTCATCTTTGGCAGCAAGACGATCGGGAAGATGCTGCTGTTGCGGGAGAGGAACGGTGTTCAGTGGGTCGATGGATTTCCGGAGCCTCCTATCCCCGCGGAGCCCGTACCAGAGGAGGAGGCTGCCGATGAGGTGGATCCCGAGGAGGTGGATGCTGCTGCTGATGCTGCTGATGATCCCCCACAGACTGACTTCCATTTTGGGGGTAGCAGCTCCACTTTCCAGGGCCAGGATTACTTCCCCCAGCAGTTCGAGCAGCTGAGGATCCAGAACCAGCTGATCCTCGACCAGCAGATGCAGTTCCACCAGCAGTACGCGGCCGATCAGGCCGAGTACCGGAACAGGATGGATGCTTATGACGTGCGGCTGAACACGATCCAGACTCAGCAGGACGTGACTCTCGCCCACATCGAGCGGGAGAAGCGCCGTTCACGGCGCATGCAGGAGGTTCAGCAGCACCTGCTTCAGCTGATTCCGGGCGATCCACCCGTCTGGAGGACTCCCTGGGATGACTCCCCTCCACATGTCGGTGCTGCTGGCGCTGTTGATGATGATGCGTTCATGAACGACATCGACCTCGACGATCTTGGCGACGAGTAGGCTGTACTCGTTGCCCGTCTCAGTGTGTTTGTTTTTTCTTTTTAGACTTTTGTGTGTTTGCTCCATGTGTGCGGAGCTTGAACTTAGTGTCGTTTGTTTTTGTTTTTGGTTTTTCCTTTGTGGTTTGATGTAGCCGTCTGGGCTAACACTTATCCCTAACGCACAGTGTGCTAGTGTGTTTCTGGTGTTCGATTTGTGCAGCATTGTCCACTCTCCCGTTCGTTTCTCGCTGACTGGTCCACTTCCAGACCCCCAGCAGTGTTCTTACCCGGTAACATCGTTCCCCTTATCTTTCCCTCTACTCCATTGAGGGCAATGTCGTGCTTAAGTGTGGGGGGATGCTTTGTATCGGTTGGAATATTTATGATGGTGCTTGGAGCCTAGTCTGCTGTCCGAATCTTACGATTTGAGGGCTCCAAGTACTGCTGTTTGATCATATTGGCACTGTGTTTTGATGGATGAATTGATTGGTTTTCGGATTAATGCATGACAACTTGTTTGCGACTAGGACAACCTATGATGAGGACTGAGATGCGCAGTAGAACGATGTAGGGGTTCAGTTTTTCAACTGTTTGCTTGCCAACTGTGACTTGATCTGACTTGATCTGATTACTTGTCCTTGACAGTCGTTTATGCATCTAGTTCAGGGTATCAGAATGTGAGATAGAGCATATAGGTAGCCATGTGAGATTTAAGCCTGCTCGTTTCTTTCTTGTGCGATAGATCCCTCTTCCATGATGTGTAGCATTCACGTTGTCACTAGCTAAGATGATGGGGGCATAGGATTAGCCCACGCCCAAAACTGACTATCCTGATGTGCCATATCCCCTAGTCAGCCCCTTTGAGCCGTGTGTTATCCTTTCTTTTGGTCTATAATGAAAAAAATCACCCTTGTTGCATCTTTTAGAAGGTTCCACAGAGTGGTTTTTATATATTCTCTGCTGTTTCTGCTAAAGTCTATGTGAGTGTTGGAGGTAGTGCTTAAAAGTTGGGCAGGTGTTTGAAATTTATGCAGAAGTGGTGGCTCTCTTAGGAAATGAAAAGAAAAATGAAAGAAAAACAAAGAAAAAAATTGAAAGCAAAAGAGAGCCACTACCAAAAATCTGAATAGTGCCCAGTAAGTAGTGTTTCTTAGCAGTCTGGCTTGGAAATGCTGATGTGTATGCCTCCTTCGCTCTTGTGATCTTAAGATATTGAGAATGCAGAATAGTAGAAAGAAAATACCGGGTTGTTTGACTGTGATTGTGTGTTTGGAAAATGTGGAACCTTTTGCTATGAATACTTCCACCACCTAAAAGGCCTTTTCCCCATGTCCAAGACCCTAGCCAGTCATTTGAACCTGTGTCTAAGACCTCCTGATTAGTTAGTGGTGACACCCCATATGTGAACTCTAGCATTTAGAGGCTGCCATCATGGTGAAGAGATGATAGGGATTGAGAGAAATAGCATGCACATCTTTCGCATCAAATTGTCCTGACCCCACTGGTCGAAAGTGAGTGATTCATTTTCATATTCTATATGCTCTTGTACCCCGGTGAGGACCTAGATTCCTCGGTCTCTATTCTGATGTCTTGAGTTGGATGCATGAGTTGACTGTTTTGAGTAAGTGGTTGAATCAAGTCTAGGTTGGCCAGTGAATAGAAGGGAGACTCTTCCTTTACTCGATTTGCTGCACTCGAATGTCCTTTGTGGTGGTTGTCCAGGTTGTTATTGAAGTTGTGCATGTATTGATGTTTGAAAACCAGTGCGATTCACGTGTTCTGTGCATTTATGACTTGTCCCCAATGTTAGTTGATTGAAATATGTAAGCTTACCGAGTGTCTGACTTGGTTTGCTTGGGGACAAGCAAACGGTTAAGTGTGGGGGAGTTTGATAGACCGTCATTTACACATGTTTTTACCCCCGTTCTTACACCGTTTGAGGTGTTGATTCTCGTGTTTTAGGCCGATTTCACGCTAGGTTGTGCTTGTTTGTGATATTTCAGGTCCTAGTACGTGAATGAAGGCTTAGGAGCGAGTCTGGGGTCGATTGGACGAAGAACGGACGAATTGCGAGGTTTTTGGGGAGCTGCACGGGCAGACCAGGGAGGCTGCACGGCCGTGCACGTGACAAGATGGCCGTGCGCCTTATGCCGAGGAGACGCACGGGCAGACCCTGAAGATTGCACGGCCGTGCACCCTGGCCGTGCAAGATGGCTAAGGTCGAACTAAATGGTACGCCGCGTTTTGGAGTGCACGGCCAGAATGGTGTTATGCACGGCCGTGCACCCTGGCCGTGCGAGTCGGGAAAGCCTGGTTTTAGAGCCTATTCCGAGCCAAAAGTGGGAGAATCGTGTTTTGAGAGCAAAAACAGAGCCCTAGAGAGAGAAAGTGCGAAGAACACATCCTAGAAGCTGTCTTAGAGCTGGATTTCATCGAATCGAGCTTGGAGATCGTCATAGGAGTGAAAATCATCGTCCTGGAGCAGATTATCCTCATCGTTATGAGTATGACTAATCCGATTCTTGTTTTCTCTTCTCTCTCTATGGAGTAGAACCCTTCTCTCACTTGGGTATGAAGAACCCTAGTTCCTTGTGTTAGGGATTTGATTGTAATGACTTGGGATGATATTACTGTTTGATTTTAATCGAATGACGCATGTTTAATGAATTGATTTGAGTCTGATCAGCTTTACTCAATTTCTGCTGCAACCTGAGATAGATAGAATCTGATTAGGTTGTTAGAGCCTCTTCATTCGATAGTAGGAGATTGGCTATACGAGAGTTAGCCAGTTTACTGCTTTGTACTGGTGTTCTTGGCGCCAGTAGTGGAGTTCTGTGTTCATAGCCTCAGCTTTCTATCCCGGTGAAGACTAGTCGTCTGCCGGGTAGTTAGACTGAGAGGGCTTGGTCAGCTTAAGAGATTCCAAGCTACTGTCGGATCTTCCGCAGTCTAATCAACAGTAAATCAACCCAGGGAATTGCAATTGAACCTAACTAAGGGGCTAGGGGGACTCAATCCCGAGTGACTCTTGCCTGCTTTAGAAAACCGAACAATTTACTGCTTTCTTGTTGCTTTTACTTTTCACAACAATCACTCGAACTAGTTTGCTAGATAATAGAGAATCACGGAGTAAGCAGTAGATCTAGACCCCGGGTTGATAATTAAACTTGCCTGTTACTGCATTCCCGGACTGCGATTACACTTGGTCGCAGTTTGGTGTTGTGTTTTGGCGTGTCAGTATTCTTTCACATATCAAATGCAGAAGGGTTTCAGATACACAATCATGCAAAAGCTAAGTTAGCTAAATGCGCCTTGCTGTGATAATAGTTATAACTACTGTCATTGGAGTGGACCGCATTTGAGAGAACATGATCATGTCCCAAATTTCAAACATCTCTTGCTATCAAAACTTCTATTCCACATTGGTCATTGGTGATTGTTGGCCCCATTCAGAATAGCTTATCCTATTTAGATTTCATGTACCATGGATCTTGAGTGTCATAGTTGTCACTTGCCTCGAGCTGACAACTTCTGTTTTCAGGAAGTGGTAAAACTTATACTATGAAGCCATTGCCTCTCAGAGCATCACGAGATATCTTGTGGTTAATGCACCATACTTACCGAAATCAAGGGTTTCAGCTGTTGTTCAGCTTCTTCAAAATATATGGAGGAAAGCTATATGATCTCCTCAGTGACAGGAAGTGAGTTTCCCCCCCCCCCCCCAATATTTTTTTGAAGAGAACAAGAAGTACGTAGTGAAGTTTCTTGTGCTATTCCCATTGTAGATATGTTCTGACCATTTGGGTTCTGATTGTGAAGGAAATTGTGCATGCGGGAGGACGGTAAGCAGCAAGTTTGCATTGTGGGTTTGCAAGAGTACAGAGTTTCAGATGTAAAGATGATAGAAGAGCTTATTGAGAGAGGAAATGCCACAAGAAGTACTGGCACAACTGGTGCAAATGAGGAATCCTCTCGTTCGCATGCCATACTACAGCTTGCTGTAAAGAGAACAGTTGAAGGAAATGAAAAAAGCCCTCACGTCTGGTTAGGAAGCTCTCCTTCATAGATCTTGCTGGAAGTGAACGTGGTGCATATACTACAGATAATGATAAACATACAAGGTACAACGATGCTCTATAATATAGCTTTTCTTATTTAATTTGAAGAGGGGACTTGAAATTTGGATAGTTACTGCTTCTGATAAATTGTTCTATGTTTTATCTTGGTAATTGAATGTGTAGAATTATCAGAAGATAAAGGTTTTATGGAACTCAGTAGATCAAATTGTGTAGCTATGCCACTCTTTTCCATATTTCATATGCCAACTACCATGTTTTAACTGATTTGCTGTTATCAACTGATATAGTTTTATGTCTATAGGTATTGGGTGGTCTCGGTTTTCGAAGAGTTTCTATATATTATGCACATTTGGTTCCGTTTCTTTAACGTGGTCAAATATGTTACAAGATGGAGGGTGCAGAGATCAACAAGATTTTGCTTGCTCTAAAGGAGTGTATAAGGGCTCTGGACAATGACAAGAGTGACATTCCTTTCAGGGGCAGTAAATTAACTGAGGTTCTAAGAGACTCCTTTGTTGGTAACGCTCGCACTGTCATGATATCATGCATTTCGCCAAGCTCGGGCTCATGTGAGCATACACTGAACACATTGAGATATGCTGACAGGTGAATATATAATATGCTTAATGTTCCAATGTTAGGCATGTCGTCTTGATATCTCTTTGATTTTACAAAAAAAAATTCTCCATATTCTTTCCAGAGTGAATAGGCAAGAGCCTTTCTAAAGGGAACACTTCCAAGAAAGATACACTATCTTCAACCTTAAATATGAAGGAGTCGATTGTTATGCCCATGTCATCAGTTTTGCCTACTGGCTCGTCATTTGATGATGATGTAACTGATGCATGGGCTGAGCAAGATTAGGGAGATGACTTCGAGGATGCAGAGGACTATGGGCCATAGAAACCAATGAGGAGAGAGATTGGAAAGTTAGCAGAAGCTTACAATCCTCCACCTATCTCAGAGGACAAGTCTCGGAAACCCAGTGGCTAGACTAAATTCAGCAATCTACCAAAACCCACCAATATCAAGAAGTCAGAAGCAGATGACGATTTAAGCTCCCTACTAAAGGTAACTTTGAAAAGATACTACACCTCATATAAAAAAAAAGTCTTGAAGCTTTAGCTGATTCACGGAGCCCATTTCTTCTGGGCTGTTGTATTATTCTCAGGAAGAGGAAGATCTTGTAAGCGCTCACAGGAAGCAGGTTGAGGATACCATGAATATCGTTAAATAGGTATGTCAATTCGTAAAAGAAAACAAAAAGGCCATTTTCCTCAACAGTCTCCCATGCTCCATGCAGTCCTGAAGCTCTTAAATTACATATTGTTTTCCGATTAAACAGGAGATGAACCTGTTGTGGAAGCAGACCAACCAGGGAATAAGCTAGACAACTACATCACGAGGTTGAATGCCATTCTATCACAGAAGGCTGCTGGTATACTGCAGCTTCAAAATCGATTGGCGCACTTCCAGAAGAACTTAAGGGATCATAATGTGTTGGTGGCTTCCTCTGGTTATTAAGGAGAGGGACGACATCTTCGTTAAGTCTATGTCTTAAATCAGTCTTCGACATGACATCTTATAATTACTATTTCTACTACTAGGTTTGGCATCTTTTCTTCTTCCATTTCATATATTGCTCACATTATTCTTCCTCCGACACCCAATGATAATAGAGGCCTAGAGCGAGGCATTGGGGATTTCTCTCCCCAGTGCCTTGAATCGGGGGCAAGCATTTATATAGTTGTGAACTTGTGATGATGGTTAAGTTCTATAATGTGATTCATTAATCGGCAAATAGAGACGCTTGTTGGAAGGTACAAATTCATAATTATCTTTCTTCCAAATATCGAGTTATTGAGATCAAACAATTCTAGATGTGGTATTAGTTGATTTGATAAAGTGTTTGTGTATTCAAATTTTTACATCCTCCATTATTAACAGATGATTAAAGTATTGTCGTAAATCTTATGCCGGAGGTACAAGAGTATTTAGATAGTAGTAGTCAATGCAGCAAAAAATGCAAATTCTATGTAAAAGCTTTTTGGTAAACCAGAATAGTGTGAAAGTGTAAACTTCTAAGTTTTAAAATGTGATTTTAACTAATAACTACATTAGTAAGGTGAAAACATGATTCTACGTAGAAGTATTTTGATGATCTAGAAATTTAAAATCGCAACTTTTAAAACGCGATTTTGACTACAATAGTAGTAGTGCCCTTTACATAAAACTCTATCATGACAGATACAGGAAAATAACAACAGAAAGGAAACTAAACTAGGAAGGTCTGCCCACCTCCATTGTATACCAGTAGGGATGACAATTAAACCCATGATCGCGAGTACCCGACCGCCTCAGATCCAGTCAAAGCGGGGAATCCCCGGTTTGATTGTGAATGGGTAAAACTCACAAAACATTTGATGGGTAATACCCATACCCGCCCCACCAAGAGCATTTCTTCACATATAAATAATACATGTATGAAATTGTAACCTATCAATGATAGTGAGGGTAACTCAAGAAAATAAATAGTAGAAATGCAATTGAGTAGCCACCCAAATCAAAACCTAATTCATTTTCCTCGACTCTCGCTTCACTCTTTCATTTTTTCCCCTCGTGCAGTCGTGTTAACAAGATTAGGTTAATAAGTTATTACTTGGTAGATGTATGAGAGTCTGAGAATAATTATTTGGATTACATTGTATTCTATCTTATGGATTGTTGGATGTTTTAGGATAAGATGTTTTGAACCGTATTAAGAATGATTGTCTCTTTGTCGACTTCATGATATAGTATGTGCGTTTAATGTTATAATTGAAAATCTACATGTAAAATTTTAGGTATTATAATGTTGGATGTACGGGGCGGGTATTACCTATGGGTACCCAAAATCCACGGGTATGGGGATGAGTTTGCAAAATATTTCCCGCATGGGTATAGGGCGGGTATGGATTTAGATATTTGAAAGCGGGGATGGGAATGGTTTAGGAAAACCTACACCAAGCCCTCCCCATTGTCATCCCTAATACCAGGACACAACATGGGTATGATCTTGTCTTGGATGGTGCACACAATCTCGTAGTCTTCTGCTTCCATCTTGAGCCTATCAAAATAAGCAACTGCATCCTCAATCTCTCTCGCTTCGTCTTGAGGACGATAGAAGAAGTTGAAAAAACTTGCACAATAATACTATCTAGTTTCTGTCATCATGGGGTTCTTAGACGAACCAACGACCAACTCTAATTCCTTATTGATTTGACATAAGAAACCACATCAAATAATCTAGTCCTCAACTCCAATTTTATAAAAGCATATCACAACTTTCATGAAGCAGAATACAAGTGCCATAAAACACACTATGTCTCATAAAATACACCACAAATTCATTAAAGTATACCACAAAGCCTATAAAGCACACCACGAATTTATTAAAAACAAGTTTCTTAAACTAGACAATAAGTATCTTGAAGTAGACCATAACTCCCTTGAAGCCAACCACAAGTTTCTTAAAAGTGAACCTATTTGTAAAATTTAAAAAGTTTAGGTATCAAAATGTAAGAGAAAAGTTTAGGTACTAAAATGTTATTTTCTAACAATATTTTTAGGATTTATATGTAAAAAATAATTTTTAGGCACTAAATATTAATATCTATTAAGTTTAGGTACTAAATTGTGATTTGTATGTGAACTTCCATGGAAGCAATCTAAAATATGAAGAGGGAAGGGAAGGGAAAGGAAAAGCATATGACAAGTCAGAAGGGGAAACGGGAAAGAGAAGCATAACACAAGTTTCTAAAAGTATACCACAAATTCATTAAAGCATACTACAAGTTCATTAAAGAATAACACATGTTTCTAAAAGCACACCATAACATTGGACTTATTTATAAAATTTTAAAAGTTCGGGTATCAAAATGTATGATAAAAGGTTTAAGTACTAAAACATAATTTATATTAATATTTGTAAAAAAATAATTTTAAGCACTAAATAATAAGATATGTTAATTTCAGGTACCGAAACTATCATTTGTACACAATAGCTCACTCAAAGCTACATAGGAAGGGGAAAAGGGAATGATAGTTACCATAATAGCCTTACTAAAAGTGTTAGTAAGGTGCTAACACTGACACCATCTCCAATAAGGGAGTGCAAAAATCCTAGAATACTAGATGAATTTGACACTTTGGCTTACCAAAAGTGAGTTTTACTCCAATAATGTAGCTTAGTGTAGATTTCAATATATTTTTTTATGGTTAGTCAAAAATTGCATTAAACTCAAGCTTCTCATAGGAGGGAAAAAACCCCTATGAGAGCCTCTCAAACAAATACAAACCGTTCATGTAATAGCATATACATATATCTATCTATCTATCTATCTATCTATCTATCTATCTATCTATCCAGTCCTAGTACATGAAGACTCTTCTGCAACTCCATATCAACTTCAGCCCTCCCAGACAAAAGCCTGCAGACTTTTCGACACAAGACTTCAGAGGCACGCACTGCTGCCTCCCCATATACCCGCGAACACCGTTCTCGCCAGACAAGGCTCACAGCAAGGCTCCAAGTAGCTCGGCAAACAATAGCTGTTATTGTTCTTCCCTTCCATTTTCTTGCAAACCACTCCACCACTTCCTCCCACGTTTTCAGGCCATCAGCATGAGCAAGGGCAATCATACATTTGTGAACTACAAACTGCATAAATGGACAAACATAAAACAAGTGATAACAATCCTCCAACCCTCCTGGGCACAACACACAACAGCCTGAAACAGGCTTCCCCCTAGCTAGAAGTTTATCCATGGTACGCAGCCTCCTCATCACAGCTAACCATAATATGAAACCGTGTCTTGGAATCACCTCCCTACTCCATATCAGTTCATTCCAAGGAACAAGTGGACTATAAGGTCGAATAGACTCCCACACTCTTTTTACAGAGTAACGAGGCATTGGAGATCCATCCCAAAGTAGAGAGGCCCCTTGCCCAGTTATATGTTGTCTAATAATGTCCCTACATTTCAACAAGCGTCGTCAAATCCAAGAGCCTGCAGCTCCGCACTTCAAATCCCAGAAAGACGCCTACTTAATACGATAACGCTTCACCCACGCAACCCACAGGGAATCACTTGACAGAAGAACATTCCAAGCATGCCTGATAACACAGGCCTTGTTCCATATAACAAAATTTCTAATGCCAAGTTCACCCTCTTTCTTTGGACGAGCAACAAGATCCCAAGCAACCAAAGCCCTCATCCTCAAACTGGAATCAGAAATATCCCACAGAAACTGATTGCATATTCTCACAACCTCAGTAATAACAAACTTTGGAAGGATGAATAGATTCATCCAATACTGCAGAATGCTAGAAAGCACTGAACTAATCAGCTGGACTTTACCCGTGAAACTTAACATTTGAGCTCTCCAACTTTGAACCCGATGTGTAATTTTATCAATCAAAACACGACAATCCCTTCTAGATAACTTGTTGGTTATCAAAGGCACCCCCAGATATTTAACCGGAAGCTACCCAAGTGGAAACCCTGAGTAGACAGAAATGCTAATCTTTTCTTCCTCAGGGATCCCTGCACAAAAGAGCTGACACTTCCCAGGATTGCACTGAAGACCATACAGACTATAAAACTCATCAAGCAATCTTTTAACTCCTGCCACCCCCCCCCCTAATATATCCATTTGTGAATACTAACAAATCATCAGCGAAACACATATGTGTGATAGCAAGAGGTTTGCATCTAGGATGATAAGGAATTTGATTCTCAAAAGTTTCCTTCTTAAGAAGACCATCCAAAACTTCCACAACAATGGTAAATAGATAGGGAGACAAGAGATCACCCTGTCTTAGTCCCTTCTGCATACCAAAAAACCCACACAACCTTCCATTAATCGAAACACTAATCATAGGGTTGCAGACACAAGCTCTAAGCAGGTTAATAAACTTTCCTCTGATTCCCATTGCAGTCAACACATCAAATAGAAAGCACCCGTTAACAGATTCGAATGCTTTCATTAAGTCAATTTTCATCACACAACGTGAATTAATTGACTTAGAATGATAGCATGTTACTAGTTCAGAAGCAAGCAAGATATTATCAGTGATGGATCTACCTTTTATTAAGGCAGACTGAGAGTGACTCACCATAGAAGGTAACACAACAGCTAGCCGATTAGCAAGAGTCTTTGCAATGCCCTTGTACTTGCACCACGAAATCGGCCTGAAGTCCTTCATATGAACAGCATTTTCCACCTTAGCCACCATCGTAAATACTGTTGCATTAATCTTTCTTGGCATAAACGCAGACTGATAGAATTGAGTGATGATATTTACCACATCAACCTTAATCAAATTCCAATGAAGCAGGTAGAACTCAACTGGAAATCCATCAGGCCCTGGGGCCTTATCTCTGGCCAGTTGTTTGAATACTTGAAAGATCTCATCCTCAGTTATGTTTCTATTCAACGTATCATTATCACTATCAGAGGCCTTGTAAGTTAGAATAGATTCATAACAAGCTACTGGAGCCCCCCTGACATTCTGATTCACCTCACCAATCAGATGAGTATAAAAGTCAACAACAGTTCTTCGAATTAGTGCCACGTCAGTTACTGGAGCAATTCCAAACAGAGAGACCCACGGGCTACCGCCACCGACGGGCGCCATCAAAATCGAGATGAAACCCTAGCTCAGAAAAGAAAAAAGAAAAGAGAGAGAAGAGAGACTAGATTTCAACATTTTAACTAGATAGTTTGTTGATTATTTTATATAGATAGTAATAATTAATTAAAACAAAATTTTGATGTAATTTTTTTCAATTTGGACATAATGTATTTCATTAAATATGATGTTATCACTAACAAAAAACACAGTAATTAAATCTGATATCCATCATATGTTTATCAAAATGAATTGAATATCAACCAAGAAAGACCATTAAAATCAAAATAAATACCACTAAACATGATCTAAATTAATACATGAACCAAAACAAACAATAAAAGAGCCAAAATAATAATAAAGATACAAGACGATGATCTAAAGTCTAAACTAGGGTAATGACTATTTATTAGCCAAAAAAATTTCGGATTTAGAATAAAAAAATTTATTTTGAAAAACTATGTATCATATAGTTAATAATTATTCAAGTGAATTTGGTGGAGTTCGGGTTGATTCGTTTGGGTCACGGATCGGGTTCGGGTCAATCAAGCTCGAGTTAATTGGGTTGCAGGTTTAATTGGGTTACGTGTCAATCGGGTTCGAGTTAATCGGGTTGCGAGGCAGTCAGGTTGCAGGTGAATCGGGTTATAGATCGGGCAAGTTATGAGTTGTTGACTTTTTGTCAATTTAAATTACGATTGGGTTACTAATCGGATTTATCGGGCAGATTAATCGGATCGGGTTCTGTTTTGAGTTTTAACACTGACAACTAGGCTAGAAACAGAGAGCAAGTGGCCTCACTAGTAACGGAGCTCCTTCCAAACCCAAAAACTTGGCCCATGTTAATGAAGGATGCCAACGGTCCAGGTCCATACTTGCAAGTAATAGCCCACGTCGGGGCCCCAAAAGATCCGAGACCGTAAAAGCCCACGCACACACGCTGGGAGTTCCTGCGCCTTTTCCTTTCATATAACCCTGAAAACCCTAGCATATAAATCTCTCTCTACCGCGGCTCTCTGGTTCATCTAAGCTTATTAGAAACCGCGCATCCTCCCTCCTAGGGTCTCTCTGCTGCATCTGCTCCAATGGTAATCAGCTCTCCTCCTTCATCAGCTCTTTCCGTGTCTGTCTATCTTCCTTCTGTTTTTCTTCTTCCGTTGAGGTTCTGATCTTCTCTCATATGGCGATTTCAGGGTAAGGGTACTGGGAGTTTTGGTAAGAGGAGGAACAAGACCCACACTCTATGTGTGAGGTGCGGCCGCCGCAGCTTCCATCTTCAGAAGAGTCGCTGCTCCGCTTGTGCTTACCCTGCCGCTCGCTTGAGGAAATGTATGTCTTTGCTTATTCTCTTTCTCTGATTCGTTATGTTTTGTCTTCTTTAAGTTATGTTCCTGTTCATAATTTGTATTCTGGATTATTGAATCTGAAAATAGAGATTTCACTATTGAGACTTCGGTATGAGTTAGCAATTGATGTATTCTAGGCTTCGCGCTGTTGGTTCCTTGCGTTTAATGAAGTAAGCACCTTTTTGCCGTCCATTTGGCTGTTGTTTCAGCTCTCTGCGCAGTTTAGGTTTCAGTTTAGGTTTCGGTGCAAGTTCAGGTCAGATGGTTTGCTCTTAAAATGGTTTCCTAGAACTGCAATTGAGTCTGTATGTAGTATTTATGTTGGTTTGAGGATAACCTTGTTAAAGCCGTTATAGATGTCATTTGACTGCTTTACTTGATGATGGTTAAATGGATTTCGGGGTTGTATTTCTAGTCAGCTGCCATATTCCCTCATTTTGTATGAGCTAATGTTTCTGCAAAGTTAAGTAAATATGGATGGTGTAATTATTATAAGCCTGCCATTGGACTATGTGACCTGTTATTTCATGTTGTGCTAGCTTGGTTTGTATTTGTGTTGTGACCAAGCCACTATCATTATGGTTGTTAGATAACTGGAGTGTGAAGGCTATCCGCCGAAAGACCACTGGAACTGGGAGGATGAGGTACCTCCGCCATCTTCCCCGCAGGTTCAAGAGCGGTTTCAGAGAGGGTAAATGAATATAAAGCCTATCCTTCTGGTCATTAAATAAAATTGCTGAAAAACTTTAAGTTTAGATGAGTGTAATTGAGATATTTTCTCTTTGATCAGGTACTCAAGCTGCACCAAGGACAAAGGGAGCTGCAGCTTCCACTTAAGAAGAGAAGTCCTCGTGGGATGCACAATGCTTAGCCAGGCCTTGAGTTGTTGTGCTCAAACAAGATTGACTGGAACATTGTTTTATGTTATTCACTGTTTGGTGGTCTGCTTAGAGGCAAACTTTAGTCTTTTGAATATTGTAGCTGCTGCTTTCATTCTGGAAGAGATTGCTGAGACGATGTATTTCTTCGAAGGTCGCTATGAGTATTTGAGTTTTGATAATATGGTTTTGAAGTTGTCAGTTTTTTTGAGAAATCAGTATTGAAGTGGTTTATGGACAGATCTTGCTTTCTTATACTTGCCAGATGAGAATGAGAGTCCATGTTGTCTCCCAAGAGTTGGAGCCTTGTGAAATGCAGTATTACATTGGTGCTGTTTGCTCTTTGTTTGCTTCATGATCCATAGGGTTTTCATGAACCAAGGTACCAATCCCTTTGTATCGACTCTCAGGTCTAGTGACACTACCATTGCCTTCCTCGAGCGACCAGCGGTATGAAGCAAGGTTTAAATCGGTATCACCACGACAATGGAAAGAATGAAATGGGCTGTGTATCACTATTAGCTTCACACTAAATCTCTACTCCTTTCATCTCACAAATGTACACAAAATTCACTCAAGTCGTGTTACAATTGTGTATCCGTATAAGCAGAAGGTAAAAAGAGGTGATATTCCGATTGGCAAAAACTCCTAGTGAGGACTAGGATCAAGCTGCAGAGAGCGGCCACACGATGAAAGCCAAGCTGGCTTCAGGAGGTATGCAAGCATCAATCCCACTGTACATGAAGAATACCTCAAGCTGTTCTCCAAACTGAATGGGGACTCACTCTGATTTAAGCTCCCCAAATTTGCTCTTTTCTTCATGCAATTGCCTGAACACATAATCCATCTCTGGAAATGTCGACAGAAGCACCAGCTCGATGAGATCATAAGCCAGCTGCTTCAAACAAACTGGTGACTGCATTCAAAACACAACAGGGGGGAAACCGCATATTGTCATCTGAGATGATTATTGTCTTCTACAAAGTAAGAGACATGCATATCAAGGTATGAATACGGTTAACGACCTGAATAAAGAAGTATACATCTTTGACACACTGCTCATACTCTTTTCGGCCAACAAGACCTACTACTGCAGTTGGTGCATTATCTGCATAGCAAAACAGATTTTTAGTTGGGGGCGTTGATGCTGATCACAAGCATCCAATATATGGAAATCGTTGGCTATATGAACATAGAGACACATAAGACACTTTATTACCAATCATTAGTTCATAAACAAACTTGGCACGTCTCTCTGCTTCCCTTTGCTGATCCTCACTCAATTGGGGGGTAGCCAAAACTGAGGGTTGTCGGGTATAAGTTGGACTTGGTTTTGGTGAAGAAGTATTCACTAGTTTTTTCTCCTTGTGAAGGGAACTAGTGGGTGTATCGACAGGAGATGGTGGCCGTCGACTTGGGTGTTTGGTTATGAATATCCCATCAGGCCAGAGTATCTGCTCAAATCAGAGAGGGAAGGCATCAGAAATCTAAGTGTGAGTTTAAGTAATTTATTGTGCGGAGGCTTATGCACAAAATCAGTAGCATTTAGTAGGAAGTCCAAATAAAAAGAAAAGTGGGAGCAACCTGCTCAACCCTCTTGATCCCTGAAGCAATGACAGAACCTCTACGAAGGAGCTGGATTTTCTCTATCAACCAATCATCCAAAGCATCCCCCATTCCCAGTTGTAACACCTGTTTAGCCATCCAAAATGCTTTCCTCCTGTACCATTGATTGAACATAGCTCAGGACAATCATGACGCGATGAATCACGTCACACCATGCTACCTGTGACGGGCGAGAAAATAAGGCATTCATGATTGAAGAAGTCGAATAACTAGTACCTGATCCATCCACCTTCTTGCATCTGGAAGATGACACCAACCAAATCTAAGAGAGGGAGTGCTAGGTTTGGTGGCACCCACTGCAATGAGGAAAGACAAAATGTGAGCATCATATTTCTTCTTAATTGAGATTTCAGTAACACTTACATAGAAAGTGGGCCAGTCACTAGTTACTACCTCAGGAGGAATATTAGAATCTACAAAAAGCGACTTCGCTGCATCCTGCAAGCCATTGCTTTCACTCCTTTCTGCAGTATTGCCTAAATTTCTGATTCGTGAAATATTGCTTTGGACATCTGAATCACTGCCTGAATTTTCAAGAGGTTTTGGGAAATCTTTACCAGGCCTGTTGCGCATAGAACTTGGGGCATTGTTCCTACTCTCCTTGACGTTGGGTGGTGCAAAATTAGGCTTCTCCATTTTTAGCAGGTCCTTTCTGTTGAAGGGGTCTGTTGCAGTTCCAGTAAAATTTACAGCCTTCTCACTATATTCAGATGCCTTATCCCCAAGGTCAACTAAAAGTTACAATCCAGAGGAGGAAGTCCAGAACATGAAACCCAGAGAGAAAAAGAAAAAAAATTAAGGAAAATAACAGAAAAATGTTGTTGGAGAATGGAGATGACATCAAGAACGACGTCTGCCTACCTGACAATGTTTCGATGATAGAGAAGGAACTTGAGAAACTGTATGTCTGCATTACGGAATCAACACCAAATTATTCCAGTAACCCTTGGTGAGATAAAAGTCGGAACAGAAGAGAAGAGTCAAAAGAACAGGTTCAAAGGACAAAAAGGATACTTGAGAATCAACACTAAGGAAGTCCCAGATTTCAATAGATCCTGAAATTTTAGGAGTTTGAAGCAGCTTCTGCAAAAAGAACAGCATGTTACAGTTCGGTACAGGTTGAGATAAAAGAATAAGATACAAATTAAATGCTTATGTGCTTTCATATCTATCTCCGCAGATATTTTATCTCCAGTCAGGTAAATAATACTAAAGCACTAAAGCTGGGAAGAGATCTAAGACAAATCATGTCCAACCTTGAGATATCTGTCAAGTAAAGTACAACGTTCTTGAATGACAGGCACATCTAAACCTGTTGAGAGAAAATGCTTTGGTGGCAAATGAAGGCTATACTCTGGATGCTCTTTAAGACGTCGATGCAACTCCTCAAAATGACGAAACCTGTCCAAGAGAGCTAAAATAAATAAGGTTTGCAAGTCACAACATTGAACATGGAGCAATACGTAAATCATAGAAGAAAAAAGTATATGCTGTAGTGCATAATTAGAAAAAGACGAGAATTTGACAAATTGCAGTAACACCTTCTCTTGATTGACCAACTGTTACCATTAACGTCAGTAACTGATATGGAATATACAGCAAACGTCTTGGAGTCACTCTTCACAATATTAGCACCCAATACCTGTAGAAACAATTTGGCTTACTTTGCATTTGTCAGCATTTACAAAATTAGCTAAGCAACTGAAACAAAACAAATACCATGAATGTAATGCAAATACCTCGCATCTCAACTTAAAGAAAGAGTCTAACATCATTGCTCTCATAGCACTTGCAGAAGGGGTATGAATTTCGACATTAGGAAGGGAGGGTGTGGATGAACAAGCCGCTGTTCCAGTTGAAAGCCTACTCAAACTTTCGACCTCAGAATCATCTGTAGAATCGTCAGGTCTGGTGCATCCTTTTGCACCGAGTACATCCTGGCCATCTCCAGACAAGAAACTCGTTCTCTCAACTTCTTGCCAAACATGTTGCCCCGGAGTACTTGATCTTGACCTTTTCCTGCCAGTATACAGTCCAGATACTTTCCGATGTCGAACTTTCTCTTTGCTAGGCCTCTTTAAATCATGGCCCAATGGATTTTCAAGAGGATGATGAATGTGGGAAACAGGCATATTTCTGTTACTTTTACCATCCCAAACTTTAGTCCCAGGCGAATGAAGGCCAGTGACATCAGTTGCATCTTCTTCTTCTTCAGATATATATGGACTACCACTACCAGAATCAGATATAACCTCCTCTTCGCTCATCACTCTTTCCGCAGCATCTTCTAAATATGAAGCATGCATAGAATAATTAGACCTGTTCCCACTTCCAAGATTGATAGGTTTATTGACTCTAGGCTGCCTAAAAACTACAGAATTAACAGCATTGGAAGAAAGAGGAGAATGATTCTTGGTCACACCATCCTTGTCCTGGGGGTTTGACTGATTTCTGGAATCATCTACCACAACTGGCTTAGTAGAAGAAGACTTCTGCCGTACTTGTTCAATTACCCCATTTCCGCCTGCATTTTTATAGTAATTTCTTCCTTTCGTCCACATGTTCTCAATATTTTCTGGAGCCAGAGCTGTACTTTTTCTCTGGGACATAACATCTAGCATGTCACTCCATTGTCCTCCTGAATTATTTAGCTGACTGTATCCCTGACTGTTAACTTGAGGGGGCAAGGGCAAAGAGCTCCATGAACGTGTAGTCCTAGTATAAATAGAAAGTAGAGGATCTTTCGAGATATGGATTGAATTTCCATTTTCTGTTTCAGGTGTACCATCCCGACTTCTAGAGTTATCAGTTTTCAATGGCACAAGCTCAACACCAGTACCAGTAGGATCTAGGAATCTAGGAGAGTGATCGTTGGTCATCAAATTCTCATTTGGTTTAGACAGGGATGCTCCTTCCGCCAAAGCAACCCCCATATTAGCCTTGGAAGCTACAAAAATTTCAATCCTTTCATTTATGAACCTGTCAAGGAAGTTCAAGAAACCAAAAGTTGGGTAATTGAAACTGAAATGTGTAGTTTTTGAGGGGCATATAGCAAAACCAGGGTAAATAATTACCTTGGAGTAGCCAAGTTCAAAACTGGTCGCATCACTGCACAAGCAAGCAGCTCCCTCGCAAGATAACGGAAGAATGAGCATTTTAGATCTTCTGGCCTAAATGTAAATGAAATTAATCCCTCCATAAGATGCTGCAGGACCTGAAAATTAATAGCAGAAGCTTTGGTCACCAGCTGATGAACGCCCAACTCGAGGAGCATTATTTTCATCAGTGCCTAGTACAATTCATGCACTATCTTCTATGATAGGAAAAGTCAACCTTGTGCTCGGCCTCAGGAGAAAATAAAGCAGGATGAAGCTTGTTTTCAGCAGCGAGTACTTGTTTTAGCTCCCTGTCTCGTTGTTCAATGGACAGAAAATTGGGTTGTTTCTGTGCAATTTTTGCTTGAGTGGCTCGAAAAAGCACCAAGTGGGCACAGATGAGATTAATGAGATCCCTGTGTCATCCTAAATATTATTAGTTTGTAAAAAAAAGAATTTTGAATAGTTAAGAACCCAGAAAATTTACGTGGTCATGAAAAGAACGGCAACCTCGTTAGAAGATCGAGAAGATTTATATCTCTCAAACGGGCGGAGAGTTCTCCAAGGACTCCATTCATTATCACTACCAGTTCCTCTGGTCCCTCTTTATCAGGTGTTAAGCGACCATACCAAAGATCTGTTACCCATTCAGACACAATATGCCTCATGAAGTGATTTATTGCATCCTCGACAACAGGAGAGTTTACTTTCTTCCTCCATTGAGACTTCTGAACAATCCTTGAAGATCCATGTGGTCTATTCTGATGCGATGCATTTGAATGCAAGGATTTGTTCACATATGTTGCAGTTTTTCTCCTCATTTCAAGATCCAGCACAAAATAACGAAGAAGGATGATTAGGAAGGAGGCAGTTGGTAAGTTGACCCACACAGAGGAGCTTGTCACTGAAAAAAGAAAATATATTCTATTGGAAATAGAAGCAATGAAACAAAGTTCCAGCATGTACAACATTGATGCATAATGGTGAAGCCTCAAACTCAGACCTATTACCATGACTACCAACAGAATGAACTTTATATGCCAATAATTTAAACAGACACAATGCCTCAATTTTGCTTGACAAACTAAGTCTGTAGGAGCTCGGACCTTTCTGGGGGCTCAATTTGTTTGGATGAATTCTAAACCGCTCAAAATAAAACACAATGTAATGCGAACAAATGCTTGGTCTAGTGGTGTGGTACTCTCACTGATCTTCAACCTGGAGGTTGTTGCATCAGGCTCACAGTTGTTCCTTCTCTCCAATACTAATTCCATAAAACGAACCAGCTAATGGGGCAATGTATTGCAACATAAAGCGCTAAAAACATTAAATCAGATTACCTGTGGATTAAGTCATACACTTCAAAGTAATAACGGACAAACTTCAACATAAAGTATGAATTGGATGCTTCTGCAAAACTTCAAATACCCAAATGTTTGCTAAACTGGTTTTACCTAGACGTCTCAAGACATAGACATGCCAAGAAGGGAGCAAACAATTGGCATTTAACAGCCCTGTGAACGATCAAACATGCCATTGCTATTGACAGTCCAACAAAGAGATTAAGAGAGAGCATTGAGCAATCAGATTTTGTCTCAATTAGTAAGCTGCATTTTAAACAAGTATCTTTTACAGTTCACCTAATCAAGCACGCAGAGAGAGGAATGAATTGGAAGCATGTCAGCATGTACATTCTACCAAATAAACCTCTACTTCTCCGCAGAGCTTTGAGGAAACGCAATTCAACCATCAAAACCTCCATTGCCGAGCTATTCAGAACTTACGAGACATGAGATAGGATAAACCGACGACGCAAATTGCCAGAACCACAAATCTCTTCTTGGCCTCCTCCACTAGGTCCTTAACTATCGCCTGCCGCTGCTGCTGTTGCTGTGAGCTCATTTCGCATTCCTCTTATATTTGCCCCACCTCTCTCTGGAATTCGCCGGCGACGAAGACTCAGCAGCAGCGACGCTTTAAAGCACGATCGCAAAGGGTGAATCATCCAAACAAGGAAATTTTGTAGAAATTGGAAGCGTGGGAGGCGGCGAGATGATTGTGTGATTGGAAAGGAAGAAAATGGGGAAGGTAAAAAGCGTGAAGAGAGGAAACGAAGGCCTTCTTGAAGGACCGTTAGGTTTTAGTTTTGCTGTTTTTGTGCACTAATGGAAGAAGTTTACGGAGATGGAACGAGGGAGAGAGAGGGAATTGAATGCTTGATGGGAATGAGAGCTCGTTATCTCTCTCCGCCCGCCTCCTCTTCCGTCTTCGTCTTCACTTCTGCAACCAGGGAAGCTATTTTCCGTCACTTTCTTTCATTGCTTGGTGTTAATTCCTCAAACATTGTTTTTATTTAAAAAAATTTACCACGAATATGACAGTTTAAAAACTAGGTTTAATACACTTGCATAGCTATAACTATTCGCATTTTGACAATAATAGCCATTTTTTGAAAAAATACACTAAAATAGTCATTCCGTCCATAACTTTAACAGCAATGGACGCTGACTAGACTAACGATTTTTTATGACGTGGCTTCTTTTTGACAAAAAAAAAATTGCCACTTGGAAAAATTCCTTTTATTATAATTAACTAAACAACAAGAATTAAAAAAATAGAAGAGGGATTCAACTTCCCCTCTTTTTACAGAACTCACCTCAACATCCCTATCGAAGCTCCGGCGCCGCTCTCTCTCCACCTCCATTTTTTCATCATCCTCTTATTTCTCTATTCAATCCCAAGTTCCATGTGGAATGTGGATGCCATCCAATCATCGATCTATCCTGACACTCAGCTTACTTACTCTGTATACAAGGTCAATGAAGAATTTGGGTTTCCTTCGCATCAGTAGCGCTGGGATCGAAAGTTCATGGGCTCCGTCGCCGTCGATCCGACCATGGGAGTGAACAGAGACTCCGATTCTGGGCTACAAGTGAAGAACAGAGAGATTGTGTGTTAGGGGAAGAAAGAAGAACCACAGCGGAATCGTAAGAGAGGAATCTCTCTAAGAAATTAGGGTTTTCGGGCATAGAGGGGGTTTTCTTCACCGACGGTGTCCTGTGAAAGAAATCCGATGGTTGGGAGATTTTGTCAACAACCACCTCCTCGCCGCCATCCATCGATTTTGTCATTAGTAGTATGCGACGTCAATTGCAACACCGTGAAGAACTGGATCGCGAAAAATGAATTTGAATCGGCGAACGAGAATTGGAAGAATGTACACAATTTTTAGTTAGTTCCATCCGCTGAAGAATTCGAGATTGTCCCAACTGCGATCCGAATTGCAAAGGTACCGACATAGTATGGTCAATCCGTCGCCGGAAGGAAGAACGAAAGCGGGAGTTTGGATTTTGGAAGAACACAAGTTGAATGGAGAACAAAAGTGAAAATTAGGTTTTTTGGCGAAGGAAATTTATTTGCCGTCTGCAGGAGCGCATAAGTGCATTGTTTTTTTTTTAAAATTTGAAATTAGTTTTTTTTTAAATTTAAAATGCGACGTGGCATCCACTAAGCATGATAAGCCTAAGTGGACATGATGTGTTATCCACATCAGCATAAACTTTGTTTAGTTGACAGAGTCATTGACGGTGTTAAAGTATGTGACGGAAGTGGCTAAATTTGTCAAACAAGTTTTAAACGTGTGGCAATATCTGTGTATTTTTTGAAAAGTGGCTATTATTGTCAAAAGCGAGAAAGTTATGGCTATGCAGGTGAATTAAACCTAAAAACTATTGACATAGATATTATGTTTTGAAGATAAAAATATGTGAATCCTCGTTAATTTTCTTTACATTAGGGTAAAACGGATCCGCGTGAGCAATCAAAAAGTAAACAAAGCTAGCTTGGATCCGTTTGAGACCCCATTTTCTTCTTCTTTCTTTTTACCCCCACCACACCAGAGACCCCAACCCTCCCTTCCTCCTCCCTCCTTTAGCTCGCACGGACCCGCCTCATCCATCCTCCACCCTTCTTTCGGTGGCACGAACCCGCCTCACCTTCCTCCTACCTTCTCTTCCCTCGCGCGAATCCGCACCACTAGATCTAGTTCCATCTTCTTCGTCAAGCCACAGAGGCGGAGAGAAGGATGTCTGACTCCGACCATTCCGACGAAGAGGAAGCCATTGCCAGGGGAGGAAGGGGGCATGGAAGAGGGCTTTCAATTAATTTTGTTTGTTTGTTTTTCAACTCCTAGGATTATGGATGCTAATTCCATGAGGCGACCAACTACGACAATTGATACAACTTCGATCGATTCGAAACTTCTTTGGGCACATGGTCAACATCGTGCCGACTCAGTTTGGGCAAACAAGGTAAGTCTTTCATATAAAATTTGCTTTAAAGTTCGTTATCTAGTTAGATTAGATGTTTAAATAGATTTTACTAGGTGAACGAAAATTAGAATTATGTAGGAAATTTTTTGAAATTAATATAAGTAGATTAGATAGATGTTTAGATTAGCTAGATTTTACTAGGTGAACTAAAATTAGAATTAAGTATGAAATTGAATTAATATAAGTTTTGACCCAAGACATTAACCTGTCCCGAATATCACAATAAAACTCTCAATTAAGGCCCAAGTATAAACCTCAATTGGGTGCAATATAGGGTAAGTATGTTTAAATAGCGACCCGAGCCGGTCCATATACCCCTACTTCGATTGTTTGAAACATTATCTAGCGATTGGTAGTTTGATTGAAAACTGTGGTCTACTTTCAAAACGATTGCGAAAGTAATTGGTTTTGTCACTTAAATGAGAAAGATTCACCCGGGTGTAGCTCCCCCTAACTAACTACCACGACTTGTCAGAATGATTGAAAATGTATGGTAGAGGTGATTAGGGACCGTAAGGGAATTGTAGCTAGTGATGGAACATCACTCTCTCGGTCTCTAGGTCAAGGAAGTTGGATTAAGCTACCAAGGTAGCTCTTGGGAACCAACTAAGTCGGGCTTATCCACCGACTGTCAGAATGGGGAAGCTTAATCACCAGCGTCCAAGAGCTTAATCACCTCGACCTTCACCAATTCCTCCAGGTTAGGATTCAAACACTGTTAAGGTTGGAGGACTGACTTGGCGCCCTCCTCCATGAGGATCTTGTACGTACAAAATGAGGGCTCGATCCCTCGAATGTCAGTGATCTTCCATGCAATGGCCCGCTCATGACGACGCATGAGCTCGATCAATTTGGGCTTCTGGTCGGATGTGAGGTTCCTATCCCAAATCGTGTTGTTCGTTCTTGATTTCCTTAGATTTTATCATGGCCTGACAAAAACCAGAAAGCACAATGACGACAAGATGAAAGTTTTATAAAACAAATTAATGGTGTTCTCTTTATGATCTCATGTAATTATATAATGAAGTTGAAGTTTTTCGATGCTATTCAATTTCATTGGTATGTTTTTAATGGTCTAACTTCATGGTTGTACCAACTTCTGATGTAATGTTTATGTTCCAAGATATTCACTTTGGTATGATTATTAGGGATATGCTAGGCGATACTCACCATTAGGCCAATTTAGCTTAATGGTTGAATCTACGGGTTATCCCAATAATTCAATATTCCGCTCAGCTCCTCCGACCAACGGGTCGGGTTATAAGCTAGTATATATGTATATATATATATATATATATATATATATATATATATAGTGATTACTTCAGTGCACTCACAAAAATGAGTGTGTTCAATGCACCCAACTCAAAAACTAGTCTTAAGGCGCGGATTTTGAATTTTAATTTGTAAAATTAGTGTAATATGATGATATCACATATGATAACAACTAATTAGCGGATTACCTAAGCCATAGACCTCCCATTTTGAGTTCTATCCCTAAACCCCAAATTGTAAACCCTAACCCTAACTCTAAATCTCTAAACTCTAAATCCTTCAAATTAAAGTAAATATTTAATGGTTTTTGTGAAAAATCATGTGCGTTATTGTTCATCACGTCATAAGTGATGATTGACATCATTTTGACATAAATCACATGTTTAAAATGACGGTTATGAAGCGAGTGCACTGAATGCACCCAAAAAAGTGAGTGCACCGAAAGCGGCACCACATATATATATATATAGTGGCTACTTCGGTGCACTCACAAAAATGAGTACATTCAATGCACCCAACTCTAAAAGTATCCTTAAGACATCAATTTTTTATTTTAATTGGTAAGATTAGTGTAATATGATGATATAATATAAGATCAAAACTAATCAATGCATTATTCTAAGCCCTAAACCTTCAATTTTGAACTTTTGCCCTAAACCCCAAATCATGAACCCTAACCCTAAATCCATAAATCATAATTCCTTCAAATTAATGTATATTTTGAATAATTTTTGTGCTAATTCATGGGGTTTCTTGTTCATCGTATCATACGTGATGATTAATATTATTTTGACATGAATCGCATGCTCATAATGACAATTATGAAACTAGTGCATTGAATGCACCCAAAAAAGTGAGTGCACCGAAAACATAACTATATATATATATATATATATATATATATATATATGTGTTGTAATCAGCTTATGCTGAGTAACAAAATAACAAGCTAATAAGAGCAGTAGACGGAGAGGTTCTTAACTCTCCAATAGACTAGTCCTGACTCGTTGAGGATATCACGCTAAATCGTTCGTCTCATTTATTTTCTCGTTGCGCGTTTGGCAAATTTGACAATGCTCTGATCAACTGAGCTCAATGGTGGCTTAATATGATAGTGCTCAACTCAATCTCCACGTTCATCAAGCTCTCCATATCTACCCATGAACGAACTCAATCTCACGTACGGCGGCCGAAGAATTGTTGTGGAGGGATAGAATTCGTTTCAAAAATCCAGATCGTGTTTTCACCAGCCGACAACTGAGAAAGAAGTGGATAGAGGGCGACAATCTAAGTCCGACTCTGAACTCTCGGCCTCTTGCTCTATGGAAGGGCCCCTAGTCATCTGTTTAAGTCAATCTCAGCTCTTGAAACTCATTAAAATTTAATGACTCCAATTAATTCAATTTATTGAAAGGTAATGTAGTAATTGCATGGTTTTTTTAAATTTTAAATTATTAATTAATAAAAAATTCCCAACCTATCACTCTCTTCCTGTCGGTCGGGAAATTTTCCAACGCCCCTGCCCCGTACGTCTCCTCCCGTCGGCCAAGGATCAGTCATTTCTGGGAAGTTTAGGCGGCGGTCCATTTGCTGGGCAATAAGAGAGAGAGCTTTTTCGTCGAAGAATTTCCCGACGCCGGCGAGAATTTCCGGCCGCAACGAGATTTTCCCGACGACAGCGGTAGTTTTGTAATGATTATTGTTCTATTTTGTAATATATGTAAGTCTGGTT